GTTCTTTATTGACCCCTGGCAGCTACAAACAGGAGTAACGACTGTTTTTCACCATTTCATGTTTTTACTTTATTAAAAACAAAAACATGCAATTTACAAAACACTGGTAAGTTTACAAAATTTCGACACCGGTTTATTTTCAATGAGGCTGTAATGAGCCACAACAGATGAGACATGAGAGGTGAACAATAGAATAAGGACAGGCCCTGTCCAATCACAACAGTCGGAAGCAGGGTTCAACAAATAGACAGGCCAATCACAATAGACGGGGGCGGGGTTAAATTTGTAGCTCGGCCAATCAGTTTTCCTCTGTAAATTTTCTGTTTGTTTGTAGTTCATAAAATCCAACACTAGGTTCCAGTGTTGCTCTGGGTGAAGGAACAGCTCTGCCTGCACGTGCAGAAGTCTTGATYTTGAAATCAAAGGCCGCCCTCTCGTGCTCACTGGTAGGCGCTGCAGTTTGATTGACAGGCTTGCTCTCGAATGTAACTAAGTCAAAGCTTTATAGGGGCGTGTTTTTGTTGCTCGTTAAATCTATTTTTTTAAACACATGCAGGTGTCCCGTGCTGTTTCTTAAGWAAGTGAAAAAGTCACAGAAGTCATTTGCAGGAACTCGAACACACATTTCAGGCCTGCTCCTTAGCTGGACTCGTKTTTTCAACAAAGGAGGCCGTTTTTACAGGTTGTTGAACATGTCAGCAGAAAACCAGATCCTCTTTGGAGAAAGGAGCGACATTCCMGACCTCCTGAGGGCCTTAGCTGACTATTCCTTCTCTTTCCCTGCCTTTGATGACATTGGTGAGCATTTTTAATTTTTACTTTACTGCACTTATCTGAGCAAAAAGACCTTAAAACTTCATGTGCAGCACTTGTCATAAATGTCTGGATACCAACCTTGGTTTATTTTCAAAAGCAGACCAGTTAGAATAAATTATTTGTGAGATAATGTAAATCCAATCTTAACATTATGCTAATAAATCACTACCTGAAAGGTGTCTATCACCAACTGTCAGATCTAATTATCATCTAAATGAGTTTGTTATGTCATTCAGATCAATAGGTCAGTTATACAGTGAGTTAAAGTCCAAGCTTCATGATGTAAGGTGCAGAATATCAGCAGGTGTTTCACTATAATGTCACTTCATGGCAGCCTGATGCAATCAAACTGAAACAGTCTTCAGTCAGGGTTTCATCATGTCATTAGATATTTCTGTGCACCTGTTTTGCTGTAAAAAAAAAATACATTGGAGCTCATATTTTTGTTGGGAGCATTTTAAGTATTTTTCAGATAAGCCTCCAACCCCCCAAACCCAATACTCACTTCATTAACTAACTTCTTAAAAATAAAAATTGATAATAAAGACCATTCAGTTCTTCAAGACTGGAGATCAGTTGACACTCCCTACCAATCAGACCCACTATGGCATTTTATGTGGCCCGTGAGAGGTTCAAAGATGTATTTATGTTTTTATTTTAAAAAGAGTATTCTGCTTTAAGGCCAACATTAACCATAAACTACACCCCTCATAATGCATATTGATTATTTTACCTACAAAATTATGGCATCCCACCACAATAGGTGGAGCTTCACTCAGTTTAAAAGTGGCCGAAAGCCGATGAATATCGCCACGCAAAATCTACAATTTAGATACTTTTTTTWAACAGATARTTTTGCTGCTGCCCAATTTACTGGGAAGTGGGAATTTCCCACTTACAAGTTGTGAATTTATACTGGAATTCCCTTCCAGTGGGAATGCAGCTACTCATCATAACTCAACAATGAGTAAAACCATCAAAAAAAAAATCCTCTCATACTTTTATTAGTATTTCTGTTTTGTTTATTTCACATTTAGTTGTACATGTAGTACTTTTCATTGTTTATAAGAGGATGTTTTGATGTAGGAAATGACAAGTAAGTAAGTAAGTAAGTAAGTAAGTAAGTAAGTAAGTAAGTAAGTAAGTAGGTAAGTAAGTAAGTAGGTAGGTAAGTAAGTAAGTAGGTAAGTAAGTAGGTAAGTAAGTAGGTAAGTAGGTAAGTGAGTAAGTGAGTAAGTGAGTAAGTAGGTAAGTAAGTAGGTAAGTAAATGTTGTTTAGTGACTGCAATTTGCACCATTAGCTGTTTTATTTATCTCTGCCTTCTTTGCAAAAGGAGAGGAGAAGACAGAAAGGCATAAAGCAGAGATGGAGGGTCAGCTGTCAGTCACAGTGTGCAGCAGCGTGTCCTGCATGCCGTCAACACTGTTTTAAATAAATAACAACAGAYCAAGAAAATAGATTTGCTTTATGCAAAATGCAATGGAATTGATGACAAAGACATGAAAATGCAGCAAAACGATGGCCAGGTCAGCAGTGTTGTGGTGCAGCTCAGACCTGCAGGCTGTTCTGCTCCGTCCAGGTGTGGACTTGTGTGGACCTGGTTATGGTTTTAAGTTTTTTTAGTGTTATTTTTTCATTATGATAAAAAAGTAAAACTTCCAATAATGTTTTTGTAACCAAAGCTTTTTCCTATAAACTATAAAAAGTAATAAATCTAAAATACATTTACACTTGTTTCTTAAAAACAATTGTGTCCTAACAGCCAAAGAAGAGAATAACTCAGTTAGTTTGGGGTCACCCTTGTTAGCTAAATTGTAGCTCAGTTTCTAAAAAAATGACCATAGCCACTTTGGTGTTGAAGTTGCAGTTTTATATTTTTGTAACGGCAAAATCAAGACATTTGCTTTCATGTTGGCACATTTTCTAAACGCACTAATCATGTGATGAGTGCAATGGCAGCAGTTTTGACTAAAAATGTATTTTAGTGCAAATGCACACCATTTGCATTTTTTTTATTTACTGCATGGTTTACAAACAGACAAGTTTTTCTTGTTTAACATCAACATTTAAAAGATTTCCCCCTCTTTCTACTCAGTAAAGAAATAGTTGCAGCTGTGTAAGTGAAAAAAAAACATGTTTTCATCAAACTCAGTGATTGATGGAGATATAAAAATATTTTTTTCTTCTGCTGGGTTTGTACTCCAGACTTCAGTCATTATAACTTTTATTTGCAGAACAGTTAATATAACTGTAGTGTGACATATTTGCAGAAATAAATGTTTTTCATATTTAAAGAAAAAAYTAGTCAAGGTGATGATTTMAGTATGATGAGTTTAACAAATGAGGTCACTAATGTGAGTTCAAATCCCATAGATCTCGTACAATATTTTTATTTTAATTATTTTTTTATTTATTTAAGAACTTGCCTGAGCTAATGCATTATTRGACAGCTATTCTAAAGTCTTTGAGCCCAAACATGACGACTTGTGAGAGGTATTCACTATTTTGGGCAATAGCAAATTATGAAGAATGGAAATGTGAAATTATAGCACTTGTAGTTAATCTATAGCATTAATTTAATTTTCAAATTATTCGTGTGTGCACAGAAAGAAAACCGTGCTGCGTGTTACCTCTCTACTTTATTAAAAATAGGTCAAAATGCACAAATACGAAGGTCCGCACTCCTGTTTAACCAGTGCGCGCGCGCTCTTGCTCTCATGGCTTTGCACGTGCAGTGSAACCGGAGCTCCGCCCACGCGACAGATTGTACTTTCACGAGAGGAGACATGGGCGGAACCGCACGTGTTTGGCCACGAGTGTCTTGTTCCTGCAAGTGACAAGAAGTCATTTGAGGGGCAGACGCTGTATTTTGGAGGCAGCTCAGTTTCTAATCCAACACGAGCGGTGGGAACTTCAGAAGTTGATTTTCGTCAAAGTCTCCTTCATCTCCAGCCGACACATTAAAACTTTCCATTTAAAATACTGTATATTAGTACTGTAGCTCWGACTTATGCTTAAACATCCCCCCGCTTTAAAATGAGAATAGTAAAACTAAGAGAAAAAGAACCGCGGTGATGCATATATTCGTTTTCATGGCGGTGACATCCAATCAGCTTCCTTTAATTTGTCAATGGGTGCGGCACGCGACGATGACAACCAATCCGCTTCGAGCATTCTGTCAGCGGGCGTGGCAAGCGACTCATGAATATCCAATGAGAACGCTCTGTGGAKTCAGAGAACAATTTGTTTTTCCTCGTCTTTCAGCGTTTTTATTGACGTACGGACTCAGACGCCAGCAGGAGTCGCAGCTAAAGTTACAAATCCCGGTACTTTTTTTTTTCTCTCCGCCCTTTGTGAGTTCCGGTTTAGCGGCCGAACACCGTCCCGGTTTCCCCCTCGGAGCTTCGGCAAGGAACAATGCCCGGCAAAGCGGCGGTGGCGCTGGCACTTCAGCCCAGCCTGAACGTCGCTCCGGCGGCTCCACAGAAGTCCTTCCCTTTTGTTTTGAAGAAGATCATGGATATCCCTCCTCCTAATATCTTGGAGGAAGGCGACGACGGTAAGCTTTAGGTGGCACTCAGTTTTTATTGTATTTAAAAAAAATTTGACAGAGTTACAAAAACGTCATATAATCTCTCATCAGGTGTTTTAATAAAAATGGTGGGTGTTTGTGGTGACGGTGCGGTTTGTGTACCATGTGTTGCGCGTCGCTCGTTTCCTCTCAGGGCTGCGAGGAAGCAGAAAAGAACAAAAAGTTCCCAGTMGTCTCYGCTGGTCWGAAAGCTGTGAAAGCAGACTGTGAAGACACCTGAAGACAGAGACATGTCTGGTGTTCCTCTCAGAACATGGGTTTTGGATTTATCTGGTCTCCAGGCTGTAGTAGTTCTGTTTAGGGTTGCATCAGTGGAACAAGTGATCTCAGTCTGACTTCTGTGCCACCTCAATCTGCTTCATTCCATATTTGCACAAACTCTSTCCATCAGTGCTGTAATATTTTGTTTCTGCAGTTTTTGGTTGCACATAATCACATCTGTCCCTTGCAGCTGTGCATGTTTCTTTGTTTTAGACCCTTGGGTCGCTGTGCTGGACGTTTCACAAACGACTGTTTATTCCTCTTTGTCTTTTTGTACAGATCTAGAGAAAGAGAAGCAGAGCTCCTCTGAGAATGGCGAAGGAGGTGGGGCGGTGGCGTCCAGCGATGGTGGAGGTGCAAGAGGAGGAGGAACAGGGGGAGGTAGTGGCGGAAGTGGAGGCGTATCGGCCTCCCTGACCCCCGCCATCTGGGAGAAGACCATTCCTTACGACGGGGAGACCTTCCACTTGGAGTACATGGACCTGGACGAGTTCCTCCTGGAGAACGGCATCCCCGTGAGCCTGGAGGAGGAGGAGCTGCAGAGGACTCTGGCTTCGGTTGATGGCAAAGGCAAATCCCTTGGCAAACTTCCCGACTTGGCCGCTGCCGTCACGTCCACTCCCGCTCCCACTGCTGCCGCTCCTCCTGCAGCTGAAGTTTCTGTCTCCGCCCCAAATCCTGCTCCTCCTCTTTCTCCGTCCACGGCCACCACGGATCCAGAGGAGCCCATCACGGTCACCACCTTACAACCCGCTAAACTAGAAGAGGAGGAAGAGCAGGAAGGACAAGAAGAGGAGGAAGAGGAGAACTCTTTGCCTGTGGAAGCAACAGCAGAACAGGAAGTGAAGAAAAAGGGTAAGCAATAACAGGTGTAGTTTATACTGACACATTGTCTAAATGTCCTTGGATTAGAGGAATGTAAAGACTCACTAATGTCTGTCAAAAGCTAAAAAGAAAACATCTCCCTGTAGCTGTAACACTGTATTTTATTTATGTTGCTCAGATTATACAGATTCTATTYACACATGAACTCACTTTGCAGATTATATGTGACCCATCTCGAAATGAGGATTAAGTCAAATTTGGTCAAAATGATCTAATTACATTTTCAGATTTCTGGCTTTAAAAGCTGCATTTTGATTCCTGGATCATCCTGATATCATAAGCTTTTCCAAAGATATAACTTAATTTGTCTTGTTGGTTACAATAATATATTTATATTAGGTCTGAATCCTAATTT